TAGATGCTTCTTTTTGCGTCGACACACCTTAGTAGTCCCAAATATGGAGTCCTCCTATACAGGATTCCTCTGCTGTGAAAGAAGTTGTTGGACAATCTCCGAAGTGTGCATTTCTGAGTAGGATTTGCAAGCTCTTGGTACTCTCCTTTTTCCAAATATTCCTTGATATCACGAAACCAAGGCTTTCCGTCTGCTTCTTCTTCAACATGGGCACAATAAGCTGGCTGATCATGTATCTTTACTGGAATGGGATTAATGAAATTCTTTTCTGGATGTTGTATCATAGATGATAGGGTGTCTAGTGCATCAGAGAACTCATTTTGGACTCTGGGAACATGCTGGAATTCTGTCTTTGTGAACCTCTTTCTCAATTCTTGCATATGATGCAGATACGGGAGTATCTTGGAGTTCTTGGTTGCCCATTCTTCTCGTACCTGATGTATAAGTAAGTCTGAATCTCCAATTACTAGCAGCTCTTGGACGTTCATGTCAATAACCATTTTGAGTCCTAAGATGCAGGCTTTATACTCGGCCATAGTGTTGGTGCACGGGAACCTGAGTTTGGCAGACACTAGATAATGCTGATCGGTTTCTGATTTGCCAACTCCTTTGAAATTTGCTGCTCCATCAAAAAACATTCTCCAACCGTCATAGGATTCTATGATGTCTTTTCCTATGAATGATACCTCTTCATCAGGAAAATACATTTTTAGGGGTTCGTCCATCCATGGGATTCTCAGCGAAGTGGTCTGCCAGTGCTTGTCCCTTGACCGCTTTCTGAGTTATGTAGACACTATCAAACTCACTCAACAGGATTTGCCACTTGGCTAGCTTGCCAGTAGGCATGTGCTTCTGAAAGATGTACTTCAAAGGATCCAACCTTGATATGAGATATATAGTATAGACACAGAAATAATGCCTTAGCTTATGAGCTTCCCAGGTCAAAGCACAATAGGTGCGCTCCAACAGAGAATACCGGGACTCGTACGGGGTGAACTTCTTGCTAAGATAATAAATGGCCTGCTCCTTTCTCCCCGTTTCATCATGCTACCCCAGAACGCAGCCGAAAGCTCCATCCAATACTACAAGGTATAGTAATAAGGGTCTACCTGGCTCAGGCAGGACTAAGCCTGGTGGTGTTGATAGGTACTCCTTGATTCTGACGAAGGCCTTTTGGCAGTCATCCGTACATTTGGTAGCGACGTCCTTCTTCAACATCTTAAAGATTGGCTCACAAATAACTGTAGACTGTGTTATGAATCGGCTGATGTAATTGAGCCTTCCCAAGAAGCTCATCACATCTTTCTTGTTCTTTGGCGGTGGCAATTCTTGAATAACATTGACTTTTGATGGATCCAGTTCTATTCCTCGGCGACTCACAATAAACCCAAGTAATTTTCCAACAGGAACTCCAAATGCGCACTTTGCGGGATTCAGTTTCAGGTTTGTACCTTTGCAATCTATTGAAGAACTTCCTCAAATCTTCCATGTGATCAGTGGCCTTCTTGGACTTGATGATGACATCATCTATGTATACCGCAATCTCCTTATGTATTATATCATGAAAAATAGTAGTTATGGCCCTCATGTAGGTGGCCCCTGCATTCTTCAGGCCGAACAACATCATCTTGTAACAGTACATTCCCCACGGCATAATGAAAGCCGTTTTCTTAGCATCTTCTCCATCCATCCAGATCTGATGATAACCAGCGAAACAATCTACAAATAACTGCAGCTCATGCTTGGTGGAATTGTCAATCAGGATGTGTATATTCGGCAAAGGGAAGTCGTCTTTCGGACTGGCCCGGTTGAGATCCCGGTAGTCGACACAGACTCTAACCTTCCCGTTCTTATTTGGCACTGGCACGATGTTGGCTAACCATGTCTGGTATTCTACTACCCTAAGAACCTTAGTTTTGACCTGCTTGGTGACTTCTTCCTTGATTTTCAAACTCATATCAAGCTTGAACTTTCTGACCTTTTGCTTTACCGGCGGATATGTCGGATCGGTAGGTAGTTTGTGAGCCACAATAGACGTACTCAGACCAGTCATGTCATCATACGACCAGACGAATATGTCCTCATATTTTTTTAGAAATTCTGTGTATTCTTTATTTTCTGATGGCGATAGGTGAATGCTGATTCGTGTTTCCTTGACGTTTTCTGCATCTCCCAGGTTAACAATTTCGGTCTCGTCCAGGTTGGACTTAGGTTTGTTCTCAAATTTCTCAACTTCTTTAACAATCTCATCTGGTATGTCATCTTCCTCTGAATCAATGTCCATTTGTTGCGTTGTCTCATTGCATGTCACAGTCATTGGTTCATCAAGATAAGTAATAATAATGATGTATAAGTAAAGTATTGAGAGAAAATGATAATTAGTGTTGATTCATAAGAAAAGTCAAAATGCTTTGATAAATTACATAACCATTTTGAACATTGAAGATCTTATTGCAGGAATTAAAAATGCAAAAAGAAAATCATTTAGTAAATAAAAATAGTGCATGATGCTTGTTTTAGTCTTGCTACCTCGAGGCTCGTCGGGCTCTAGTTTTCCTGATGGTCCAATTGTTGAGGCGTGCCCCTCTGCTCACAACCTGTATGGAAGGTCCTTCCTCCCCTCCTCCTCGAGAACAGCACAACAATCCATGTTATTGTCTTCTAGGAACAAGTTCTTCACCGCTGCAAGTGCTTCTTCTTCGTCTGACCCATAAACAATGTCAACCTGTTGGAAAGTCTGCTCTAGATACGATATTGGCTGCTCCAGTGGATAGTAAGGACCGCGCCATGGTGGCGACCAGTTGTTGAATTCCTCCCACGTATATTCATATCCCAAACCAAAGGTAGTGCCATGCTTTTTGAGTTTTATGGGCTTAGAGATTCCCTGGAGGTTCTTGCCGAGCCCCTTGCCAGGTTCGTACCCACTCCAATTCAGTATACTCTCGATTTTGTTATCCCACCATTTGTCTTTGTCAACAGCGTTTACCCGTTCAATGTGATGGTAAGTATCTCCACCTAACTTCCTTCTTCCCTCGATTGCTGGAATGGTCTGGCGACTATATATAGGGTTGCTAACGTCGTCGTGAATGATCACCTCTTAGTGATTCCATTCAAATTTACTGCCTGATGCAGTGTTGATGATACGGCCCCAGCAACATGAATTCATGGCCGTCCCAACAACAGGTTGGAATATGTTAGCACGTCTATCACCTGGAAATCGACATCGAACCATGTTGGTCCCATCTGCAAGCATAGGACAATCTCACCAATGGTGGACCTCTGAGAACCATCGAAGGCTTTCACATTGATAGTTACATCTTTTATCTCGTGTAGCCCTTTACCCAACTTCTTGAGTGTTACCAGCGGACAAATGTTTAGACTGGAACCTCCATTGATCAAGATTCTGGTGATAAAATAGTCCTCGCACTACACGGTGATGTGTAGTGCCTTGTTATGCCCCAACCCTTCAGGTGGCAGCTCGTCCTCATGAAAGGTGATCTTATAGCTCTCCAAAACTTGTCCTACCATGTTAGTCATTTCCCTGCCAATGATGTTGCTTGGTACGTATGCTTCACTCAGCACTTGTAACAGAGCATTCTTGTGTGCCTCGGAGGTTTGCAGCAAGGAGAGGATGGAGATTTGTGCTGGCATCTTGTTTAACTGGTCGATGACCGAATACTCCTTGGCATGTATCTTCCTCCAAAGGTCGTCTGGACCCGTCTCAATAAGGGGTGGCCGATTGGAGGCCTGCTTGCTTGACTCAGCTAGATGATCAGGGGTATAGACTCTACCAGTTCTTGTCATACCCTGTGCTGCAACAGTTTCTTTGAACCTGACCTTGCCTTTCCTTCTCGCTTCGGCTGTATAGTCCCAGGGTACAACCTTTGTATGGAATGGTATCATGGTCAACATTGCCACTGGGATCGGCGTGGCTATCCTCACTCCAAAGGGAGCATGTGCCTTGGGTGGTAAAACTACAACCTCAAATGGTGCGGGTGCATTTGCTGGAGACATGAATTCAACCTCAATTGGTGATGGTGTCTTTACGGATGATGTTGCTTCAAACTCAAGTGGCATAGTTATATTCACCTCAGCGCCCTCAGACGGTTGAATCTGGACTATGATTGGATTGAGGGTAATTATTGGTTTCTTTGGGTCATCACCTTCTGTGATCAACCCGATTGATCCCTCGGGATCCCAGTCATCTTCTATTTCAATCATGTGGATATCCCCACCTTTGTGGTCTGGTAGAGGGTTGTTGCGGACATTTGGAGCAGGTTCCTTTGCGACAATAATCTTGTTATCAATTAAGGACTGTATCTTATCCTTCAAGGAGCGACATTCATCGATGGTGTGCCCTTTCATGCCGGAGTGGTATGCACAAGATTTGTTTGGGTTAACCCACTGAGAAGGGTTCTCAGGGGTTGTAGCAGGGATAGGGGTGACATAACGAGCGGCTTTGAGTCTCTCATACAACTGGTCAATGGGTTCAACAATGGCTGTATATTGTTTTGGAGGTCGGCGATCAAAATTAGGTCGGGGTCTAGGGAAGTTTTGGCGTGCAGGAGGTGATTGATAGTGGGATGGCTGAGCATTATGGGTTTGATAGCACTACAACAAAAGAAGCTTTTAGCGGCAAAATATATGTTTTTTAGCGGCAATATAAATTTCCGCAGAAACTATTACCGGCAATTATTTATTTGCCGTTGTTTCCACCGTCGATAAAGGTTTTAGCAACAATAAACAAAAAAGCTGGTAAAGACCCAAACTATTGCCGCTAAAAGGTCTGAAAATTAACGGCAATTATTCTCCGGCAATTGAAGTGGCCACTAAAAGTGGAAAATTAATAACTTAGTTCATACATTTAGGGGAAAATGTTGTTGCCGGTAAAGACCAACTTACGGTCGAAAATGGTGGCTTCTTTTTTTAAAGGCATTTTTATTGTTAACATATATCTAATTTATTGCCAGTAAAAGTATAAACTTTTTAACAGCATTTGCTATGGCCTGAAGTAGCAAAATAAATACGCTACTTTTATTCATTCTAAAAATATAATACTTCATTACATCCATAAATAAAAATGACAAAATCCTTAACTTTTAGAGTTTTGACACCTTAAAATAAATAGTACACAACTCAGATCGGTAATTTAATCACATCTTTCTTCACCAGCTTGGTCACCCTGCTTGCTTTCCTGACCCCTTGTTTTATAAATCCATAAGATCCATAGCACACAAATGTATACCTGAAATAGAGAAGAATAAATTTGTTAATCTAGTTCATTATGTCTTGACAACAAATTAAGAAATTTGGTAGCCCCTTATTCAATTTATCAGATTTAGTATCTCTTACCTCTAGTTCAATATATACTTCAGGCAATATTCAAATGCATCAAGAACTTGTCTTACTAGCCTACAAATGCATGTCAATATTGGATGCCTACCCCAAAGAGACTCCTTTCATGGCAAAAAAAAATTTAAAATACAAAAAGAAGTCATTATACATTTTAATTTAGTAGAATACTTAATTTCACGCCTAGAATACTCCAAACACATAAAATATTTTAGATGTATTTAAAGTTACATCATTGAAGCATCAAACAAGAGGCAGTAGCGAGTGGTTTATACCTCATGAATATATAATAGTGTGAAATTTAAATCTGTTTAGTTTTATTGAGACGAACTTTAATTTTTTCTCTCTAGGCATTGATATACCACATGAAACTGGTAGCATTAGAAAGTTACAGTACATGTTTAGATTCTAGCTGAAAAGCCAATTTATGAGTTTAAAGCCTAGCTATTCTATACTTTGAACAGACTTTAATAAAAAAGGATTAGAGAAAGAGCAAGTAACTACACTACATCAGCAACTTTCTGAAAGAAATTTGCATATAAATTCCACTCTTCAATGGAGTAAACACTATTGATTTTCGAGATTCATTTTCCTTAATGGCACGTTGCAGTAAGGCATACTAATCAGCAGGCTTTGTTCCAGTCGAAAATTTAATATTTATAGCATTAGAAGACTGCTTAGCATTTTCAATTATATGTAAGAATATACTTTCTTTCTCCTTTTAATAATTTAGATATGTTAATTGACAATATAAACACAGTGAAGTACATTTTAGCTTTTATAAATACTAGAATCAAATAACTTAGCATGGAAGAGGCAACTTTCAACAAACATATGACATATAACTCCAGTCATCCATTTTCAACAACTTTAAATTTGTACATAAGCTTAATAATCGGTTGACAAAAGACTAATACCTGAATATTTGGAGTTTGGACACTTCAACAACTAGAAATGCAAGATCCATAAAATAATCATCACATTACATCACCTACACTCATAAAACCATTCTCTTTGCCTCTTTTTTCAAAATATAAGAAAAGCACATAATTTTGGAACTGAACTAGCTAGAAGTGAAAATAAAATGAATGTCAGAAAATGAAATCCAATGTAAAGCAAAGTTGTACACCAATAGTTTGAACATAATATCGTTCGAAAAACATCTTCTATCTCAAGAGATTGTGCATCAAATAACTTACACTAACAGTTTGGATATATGATACTTTGCAAGTTTTGGTTTGATCAATGACGAGTATCAATGTCATGCATAAAAGATACCAACTAAATGGTTTAATAAATAAATAGAAGTACTATTCCATGAAAACAAGAATACAAGTTTATTGTTGCAGGACGATATATATATAATATGTTGAAAGGATAGTCGCATGCACATAAATGAAACAAGGAGGATAGAATAACATTAATTATTGGAATAACTTTTCAATTTAAAAAAAAGAGTAATATGGTTTTAGCCTTCAAAATTTAAAAACACAATATGTTATAATTCTTCTTGATATGAGGGCGCTCGGAAATACGACCATGAATATTTCTATTCAAACAAGGTAAACATTCAATTAACATGAGTTAATAAGTGAAGAAAAACTAGTCCATCAACAATTCATGTCTAACAAACAATACAAAGAACTAGATCAAATAGTGGTTAGGACCTATTTCTCTCAAACATAAATCAAGTTGCATTACTGCAGATATTTGGACATATTAATCTATCAGATTTAAAAATATAATTATATCAGGAACAACACAATAATAAATTTTCACCTCAAAGATATAATAATTAACTAGACATGTAATCCAAAAACTTGTTATTAACAAAAAGGGAAAACTTACTATGTCAGAGGATGACACAAGACAGCAAATTGTGAAGTCTTAGAAAACATCCCTGTATTATAAATTCTCCTTCACCCACTGCGAAGGAAATTAGTAGTAATTAAATTGCACTTATGAGAAGCAATTTATATGCATATCAATTTTTTTTTTTTTACATCAAAAGTGCCTGCCTTCAACAAACTTTAAGAAACATACCCATATTGTGAATCAAATTATCAAGTGAATCTTTATTTTTCACAAGGCCAAATTCACAAAACTATATCTCAAATTTTACCTACTTCTTCTCATTTTTGCATCTCCATTATGCATAAAATTGAAGTAGGGTAAGTCTAGATTGAACCTTTCTAATATAAATTTTGGAGAAAAGTCAAAAATATTGAGACCTAAGAAACTTACCAGCAAAGGAAGAAGAATAGAGTATGCCAAAAGTACAAATAAACAACACAAGAGCAATGAATTTTACTAGTAAAAAAACCCTAATCTATGACAAATAAAACCTATATTTAATTTAATTGGCATATGAATCTAAAGAAGGCAGACCTTCTTCTGCACTCACTACAAATACAAAATCAATGTTTACCCACTTCAGCTTTGCATTTCACGAGCAAAAGGCCATCAAAATCAAAACCAAGAGAGAGAGAGAATTACCTAGTGACAGTGGCCGGTGACGGTGAGAAAGACAAGTTAAGCGCCAACAATGATGGGAGAGAGGGAGAGACATCTGCTCTATCTTGCGGCTTACTGTGGGTGGATGCCTTTTTGCATAGTACACGGAGGGATTATTTTATAGGGAAAAAACTTGAGCGAGAATGAACTGAGTAAAATAGGCTTTTAATTTAGTAACCTTTACTGGCTATTACTTTGAATCGCTGGTAAAAATATTATTTCTTGGCAAATGTTCAATTGTCGCTAATGGTTGTGCAGAGAGATTTATTTTATCGGCAATTGGCTAATTGCCACTAAAAGGCTTTTTTGTAGTAGTGTAGACATGTCCAGGTTGGGAATATCTGGGTGAAGTATACTGATATGTAGGAGGTAGAAGTGATTGATAAGTTGATGGTGGAGCTTGGTATGAGTGTGAAGGTGCTTGGTAATTTGGGGTTGGTTGATATATGAGTGGAGGTGTTAGGTAAGTTTGGTATTTGAGGGGAGATTTGATCCTTTGTGCAACAATCACGGCCCCTACGTCCCTCTTCTTGGACACACCACCAGACTGTAAGGCCTTATTTGTAGCTTGCAAGGCCTCAAAATTTGTAACCATACCGCTTTTGATACCCTCTTCAATTCTCTCACCCAGTTTGATAATGTCGGAGAATTTGTGGTTCTCGATCATCATCAGTCGTTCATAATATTGTGGGTCCTGAGCCCGGACAAAGAATTTGTTCATCTATTCATCCTCTAAGGGAGGTTTGACCTTAGCAGCTTCAGACCTCCAGCGAGTAGCATACTCGCGAAACGTCTCTGTGGGCTTCTTCTTTAGATTCTGAATATAGAACGCGTCTGGTGCATTCTCTGTATTAAACCTGAATCTGTCAATAAAGTCGGACGCCATGCCTACCGAGTTTGACCACTTTTTGGGATATTGGCTGATGTACCAAGATAACGCATCTCCTTTCAAACTCCTCATAAACAGCTTCATGCGGATTCTCTCGTCTTTTCTGACTCCAACCAGCTTGTCGCAGTATGTTCTCAAATGGACCCTTGGATCACCCGTACCATCAAACATTTCAAACTTAGGAGGTTTATACCCCTCGGGCAGTTCGACATCAGGCTGTATGCAAAGATCCTCATAGTCTAGCCCCTCGATTCCTTTACTTCCTTCAACGCCCTGAATTCGACTAGTCAATTTCCTAAGTTCCTCAGCCAGGTTTCTGATAAACAGAACTTTTTCATCAGACTCGGGTGTGCTTGAGATAGGTTGGGTGGAGTGTGGCATGGTCTCCACGTAGATAAGGGTGTTATGGTGGGTGTGAAAGTGGTCATTTGTGGAGTTTTGGGGTTCTGAGATGAGTAGTGGAGTGTTGTTTGGGGTATGGCAGGTGTTGCATTGGGTCTTTGGTGGAACAGTGTGATGGTAAGGAACGGGATGATTCTGTTGCTTTGGGATAATTTGAGGAGGTGTAGGGTTTTAGTGTAGGGAAAGTTGACATCTGGGGTGCTGAGGGAAAATGACAGGCTTGCCTATAAGCACATCAAAAGCCATGCTGTCGCACCCCCATTTTTTCCCCTTTTTCCAACGGAGATGAGTTTACGGGTTTCGACATTCATGGGGTATAATAACTCATTTTCTTTTGGGAATTGGGTATTTGAAGAGTCGCCACCTAATGATTTAAGGAGCATTAGGACACCTATAGAGTTCATTTACAACTAGGTTTGATAACCAGAGATTTGGTAAGGGCTTGAAATTATCCTAAGGGGAAGGTGTTAGGCACCCCTCAAGATCCACTAATAAGGTTCCCGACCAGATAGTTGTGATGACCCGGCCTGTCATCTTAAGAATTAATGCCCCGATTTCCTATTAACTGCTTTCCCCAAGTTTATTTCTGCTATTTTGATTTGACGGGATGTTCGGTTTTAAGTTTCGGAGAGTTTTGGGACACTTAGTCCCTAAATGAGAGCTTAAGTGTTGGAGAGTTGACCGTAGCCGGAGCAGTGTGAAGACGGTGTTTAAATGGAAATTTGATGGTTCTGTTAGCTCTGTTAGGTGATTTTGGGCTTAGGGGCGTGTTCGGATTGTGTTTTGGAGGTCCGTAGCTAATTTAGGCTGGAAATGCCGAAAGTTGAATTTTTGAAGTTTCTGATTCGATAGTGAGATTTTGATCCGAGGGTCGGAATGGAATTTCGAGAATTGCAGTAGTTCCGTTATGTCATTTGGGATGTGTGTACAAATTTTAGGTTATTCGGAGGTGGTTTGGTTGATTTTTTTTATCAAAAACGTGATTCAGAAGATTTTGGAAGACTTAGGCTTGAATCCGATGTATTTAGGTTGAATTGATGTTGTTTAAGGTGTTTTGAAGAATTGTACAAGTTTGAATAAGGTTTTAGGATATGTTGATGTCTTTGGTTGAGGTCCCGGGGGCCTCGGGTGTGTTTCGGATGCTCAACGGATCATTTTAAGTTGTTAAAAAGTTGCAGATTTTGTTCAGCTATTGCAGAGGAATTTTACCCTTCACGTTCGCGAGTGGACCCTCGCGTTCACGAAGAGTCATTTGATGAAGGCAAATATTAAGCCTTCGCGTTTGCGATGGGAGATCCGCGTTTGCGAAGGGCTGGATACTTGTGAACTGCATTTGCGACTGGGCTTCGCGTTCGCAAAGGAGGAAATTTGGCCCAGTATAATTTACTCATCGCATTCGCGATGAGAGGAGCGCGTTCCCAAAGGTTAGACGGGTAAAGCATTGCCTTTGCGAGGGACTTGTCGCGTTCGCGTAAGAGAACTTTTGGTCAACGTCATTTTTATGCTTCACGAACGTGAGGCCTTGACTGCGTTCGCGAAGAAGGCATTAAATGCCTGGGCAGAATGTTTTAAAAGGTTTATTTCGCGAATTTTAGCCTAGGTTCCTCCATTGTTAGGCAATTTTGAAGCTTTTTGAAGAGGGTTTAAGAGGGATTCAAGGGGAATCACTTAGAGGTAACATTTTTGACTTCATAACTCGTGAGAGTATGAGGTTTCTAAAAATGTAAATTTCACCCGATTCCGAGATGTGGGCCCGAGGGCCATTTTGGCCATTTTACATAAATTCGCGTATTAGCTTAGAGTTTAATTGTAGAATCAGTTACTTGAAGTGTTATTTACATTATGCAATTGAATTGAATAGATTTGGGTCATTTGGAGTTGAGTACTCGTGGCAAGAGCGTGGTTTCAAATTGATTATTGAGCCGGTTCGAGGTAAGTGGCTTGTCTAACCTTGCGTGGGGGACTTTCCCCTTAGAATTGGTATTGTGATAATTGAAATGCCTTGTACGTGAGGTGACGAATGTGTACTTGTGCTAATTATTGAAAATCCGATTTTCATTAAGTAACTTTAATTGTGTTTTCCCTTTCTATTTATGTTACTTGCACCTTTAAACCTATTGTTAGTTAGAGAAGCATGTCTAATTGACTTAATTGCTTTATTTGCTTTAACTGCCTTATTTGTATTACGTGAAACATGCTAGGTTAGAATTGTCTGTGTTACCTTGTTATGAAGTTGAGTTTATTTGAGTATTCCTTGTGCCATTGTTGTGTGTTTTACTTTGGGACGGCATCCTGGGAGATCCCCTGTATACATTTACGATTTGAGCTAAAGTGTGGGATACCGAGAGATCTCCAGCACGTATATTGAGGATACCAAGAGATCCTCGGGATACCAAGAGATCCCTAGTATATATTGAGGATACCAAGAGATCCTCGGGATACCAAGAGATCTCTAGCATATATTGAGGATACCGAGAGATCCTCGGGATACCAAGAGATCCCTAGCATATATTGAGGATACCGAGAGATCCTCGGGATACCAAGAGATCCCTATCATACATTGAGGATACCAAGAGGTCTTCGGGATACCAAGAGATCCCTAGCATACATGAAGGATACCGAGAGATCCTCGGGATACCAAGAGATCCCTAGTATATATTGAGGGTACTAAGAGATCCTCGGAATACCAAGAGATTCTCGGTTATCATCCTTGTTATGAGTGGTACTTCCTTGTGGTTTGCCTTCATCTCTATTTCCGTTATTGTACTCTTATTATCATGTATAGATTCTTACTGTAGATTCTCAATTGCACTGCTTATCTTATCCTGTCATTTTTATATTTTATTTAACCTCAGTAGGGCCATGACCTTCCTCGTCACTACCTAACCGAGGTTAGGCTTGGCACTTATTGAGTACCGCTGTGGTGTACTCATGCCCCTTCTGCGCATGTTTTTCATGTGCAGATCCAGGTACCACTACTCAGGCCTATCATCCTTGAGGAGGCGACTGCTCTAGAGACTTCGAGGTACATATGTCGCGTCCACAGACCGAGAAGTCCCTTTCTATTCCTGCTTTTAGTATTTAGCCCTTCTGTATTTTTCTTTTCTTATTAGACATTCTGGAGTTAGAGCCATGTAGTATTGATCTTAGCTTGTGATTCGTGGGTTTTCGAGTCTTGAATTTACGTATTGGTATTGAGAGTTAAACATTGTGTATGTCGAGTGGCATATTTTAACACTATTATTACTTTATTCCTGCTTTAAATTGTTTTACTTCCGCAAATTTTGGTTTTTTTTCCGCAATTTACGCTTACCTAGTCGTAGAGACTAGGTGCCGTCACGATCATTCATAGAGGGCTAACCGGGGTCGTCACAAGTTGGTATCAGAGCACTAGGTTCATAGGAGTAATGGATCATAAGCCAGTTTATTAGAGTCTCGCTGATCGGTACGGAGAATCTGTGCTTATCTACGAAAGACTATGTAACCGTTAGGAAAATTCCACTTCATTTGATTTCCCTGTCGTGCAAGATTTTTCGACATCACGAATTCTGAACTTCTATCTTCTATTCTCTCACCAATGGTGAGGACACGCACTACCTAAAATGATCAGGCACCCGCGCCCCTGCGAGACTCGCTAGAAATCGGGGCCGAGGTAGATGCCGAGGACGCGCACGTGCATGTGATGAAGCAAGAGAACCCGCGTGAGTTGCCACCGAGGATCCACCAACAGTTCCAGCCAGATCCTAGGCACCAGATGCGCCTACTGCTACTACTTCTCCAGCCTTTCAGGAGACATTTGCACAGTTCCAAGCATGTTTGGTATGTTAGTTCAGGCAGGGTTAATTCAGGTTGTACCAACTACTTCACAGATCGAGGAATGGACCCAGACTTCTACCACCCCCACTCCAGAGCAGCGAGTTCCCATTGTTCAAGTTCTAGGTATCATGGCGACACAACTTGTGGTCCCAGTTCAGCGGGTGGTGAGGACCTCGCCGAGTAGAGGACAGGTAGGTCTAGGAGAGAAAGGACAGACGAGGTCAGGAGAAAGAGAATAGGGAAATGAGGAGGCCTCGTGGACTGGAGAGACCCACTGGTCCTTATTTTGGAGGAAG